TACTTCTATTAAACCTCGCTCCTGCCTCTGACTCCACCTGCCTTGGCCAGCATACTGTTTAATCCATGACCTGTTGAATTATTCCTTTTTTAAGCAGTCACCTCCTCAGAAGCCTTTTTAGTCTCAAGTAGTTGCCCCCTCTTTAATTCTCAGCACAGTGCTTCAAGACACATCTGGGCTAAAGAGAAGGGATGGAAATGGGGCAGGGGATGAAAATGGGGAATAGAGATTAAATTTCTCCTCCACACTAGCCTGTGGACAGAGATTGCATTGTTGGTATCTGGAGGCCAAGTGTAGAAGCCCTCCCCTCCCTCTGCCTGCACTTTCCCACTCCAGTTAAAGCCCTTCATAACCCACCCCTATTCCTCATTCTCCTAAAGAGCTCACTGGGTTTCACAAGTGTCCCAGAGACCCCTTATTTAATAGATATTCCTTGTCTGCTTAATCTCATTTGGTGCATCACAAATTAATCCTTATTTTAGTGTGAATTTCTACTTTTATAATTTTTTAAAAAGTATAAGATTCTGTTTCACGTGGGCACCTCTGCATTGCCCTTTGGGGCCTGGGGATTGGGGGTGGAATTCTACTCACCATCCTTGCATGGAAGCCAGTTGTCTTGTGACAGCAGGGGTAAGAGACAAAGCTGACTGAGATGAAACAGAAAAGCAAGAATTGGGGATTGGGTTTCACCTCACTTCTGAGTAGTAAAATGAAATTAAATCCTCCTAAAACATCCCTAAATTCCACTTACCACTCTTTCCACAAAACTCTTTTTTCTTTTTCTTTTTTTTTAATACATGGCCAAAAGCATACAAGGAAAATAGGGAGTTGGGGGAAGCAATCCCAGCAACATTTGTGGTAGAAAATCTGCCCACACTGGTATGTGTGAATTCCATATTGTTCCAGAGTCCCATTATTCTCAATGGGCAAGTTGGGGGAGCAGTTCGAATACCTGGTATTTGGAGAGCTGCCAAAGCACATCCGTAGGATTTCTAATGAGAACTCAAGGGCCCTGACCTTGAGGGCTCCAACTGTCACCTATGCATTCCCAGCTTCAGCCTAACCTTAGGGGCAATGTAGGCCTTTGACAGCAGGAAAACATAAAAACATCCAAGGCATTTTTAGAAGGTACAAGGCCACCCTACCATGAAAACTTCAGTAAACTGAAGATGACAAAAATCACTCATTCTTTTTATTAACGATCTTTTTTATTCTTATGAGCACTGCACTAGTGCAGTCCTATCATTTCAAATATATTGTTTAATAGGAATAAAATACGTTACATGTATAATTTTCCTTTAAATTACATTTGTGAGATACAAGCCTGGTAATTCTTCTCTTTTTCCAAGAGCAGTGCAACCCTTGTGTTCCCAAACATCACCATGAAGCAAAGCCAATATCTTCCCATTTCTGAGTTGAACACAAGTAACTATTATGTGTTGTTCTGGAAACTATGACAGACATTATTCATCTGTTTGTTTAAATGGTTCATGGCCAAGGGAGAGGGGGAAAACCTTGAAATTTGATTTAATTTTTTTTTAAAGCAAAAAAGTGGTGTGAGACAGAGCAAGGGAATAAATGTTCACAGTTGTCAGTGCCCAGTTGTGGGAACCTCATATGATATTGGACACAGTCACCTCAAAATTGCCTGTGCTTACAAAGGCATTTCAACACCAGACTACGGGATGCCAGAGCTAGCTGAGTTCCCGACCTGACAGATTGGAGTCTTCTCCCTGTGTCATCCACCCTCTGGGGGACATACCTTGATTGGTTCCCTTTGAAAATTGACCTGAAAGGTCAAATATGTTAGCACATTACCTTCTTTGATGCCCACTTTCAGACTGGTCTTTAGAAAACAGTTTGTGAGATCACTTTGGGATCACGTATTTCCCCTGTAATCTCTTGACCACAGTCAGCCGGAGGCAAAGTCTGCTTTTGGTGTGCTTGACAGCTCCCTTTCCAGCACGTTCTTTATTCGGACTAGCTCATTTCACGTGTCTGCCTGTACCTGTGCAGATGTCTTTTCACCAAAAGGGCCTCATTCCAAGATGTGCGTAGCTAAAGTCCGTATGATTTAAATTATGTCACCTCGTCCTGGTTAGCAGTTAACTAAGGATATTTCCAGGCTCAAAATCCTCTTGGGAAAAAGAAGGAGATATTTTTGGATAGGTGATAACTTTTGAGGCAATATCTGATTATAACCTGTTCTTAAAGTCTTCTTGTCTCTGATCTATCTGCATTGGACTAATTCTGTGACCTTTACTTGGATCCTTAATTTTACTATAAAGTCCCCTTTTAAAATTCTTTTAATTGATACATATCAATTGTTCATATTTATTTATATATACAGTGTTAATTTGATACATGTATACAATGTGTGATGATCAAATTGGGCTTATTAACATATCTCTATCATTTCTTTGTGTTGGGAACATTCACAATCATTTCCCCTAGTTATTTTGAATTACACAATAAACTTTTAAACTATTTTCACCGTACTGTGCTCTATATATGGAACCCTAGAACTGATTCTTCCTATCTCACTTTATTGTTTTACCCAATCATTACCCTTTCTAGCTTCTGGTAGCCACCATTCTACTCTCTACTTCCATTAGATCAATTCATTTCGTTCCACATATGGGTAAGAACATGTCATATACTTGACTTATTTTATATAATATTACATTATTCACTTCCATTCATTGTTGCCACAGAGGACAGAATATCAAATCCTTGATGATGAGTGAAGATGAGGATTTTTTCATATATCTGTTACCCATTTGTGTGTGTGTGTGTGTGTGTGTGTATATATATATATATATATATATATATATATATATATATATATTTTTTTTTTTTTTTTTACAATATATCTATTCACATTACATACCCATTTTAAAAATCAGATTATTTTGTTTTGTTTGTTTATATGTTTTGTTTTGTTTTTGCTGTGGAGTTAGTTGAAAAAAATATATAGATAGATAAATGATAGATAGATAGATAGATATAGATATATAGATAGATATTCTGGTATTAACCCCTTGTTGGATGAATAATTTACAAATATCTTCTTCCCATTCTGCATTATCTTTTCTCTCTGTTGATTATTTCCTTTACTATGTGGAAAGTTTTTGTTGTAGTTTGGTTTTGCTTTTGTTATACCTAATTTTCACCTTTAAGTGATCTGACTGCATCATCCAAGGGTGTCTGGGAAACTTCACACCTAGCCTGGAATATCTAAAGCTAGTATGTGGCTTTGTTTTTAACCAATCTTGCCAATAGGTTGCCCAATTTACACATTTTAAAAAGGGATACTTTCCATCCATATTTGGCCATGATGGTCTTTTGGGAAGGCACTGGGAAGTTGTTTTTGCTCTGGAAAAGAGAAAATGCTAACCACATAGAGAAGAAATAACCCACCCTTTGCTAGATGGCTCACTGGAGCACACCTAGGGACACCATCTCCTCCTGGATGGAAACTCCCATTGCTGCATGGTGGCCTGGGTCTTGGCTCTGTGGCCCTGATATGATTTCATCTCCCGTGGCTTATAATGGGGCCTATAGGAGGGCTGAGTGGGTAACTTCAGAGATGCTGGATGACTTTGTTCCCTGCAGACCTCCCCATGAGGTTGCCATGCTGTGGGTTTATGGAGCTCACTTTCCCTGCCAGCCCACTCCAAGAGCCGTGAGAATCAGGACAAAGGTACCATACTGCAGATGCTCTGTAAATCGCCCACACTTCCATCAGATGAATCTGTGACAGTCACTCACAAGGATACCAAAACCTCTCCTCACCTCAAAGACCTGGAATCCTAGCCACTGGCCTCTCCCTGGACCTCCACCTTGGCCCTCTTGTACAAATGAGATATTTTTAAATTAAGGTAAAATTTACAAACATAAAATTAACCATTTTAAAGTGACCAATTCAGTATAATTAGCACATTCACAGTGTGGCACATACACTGCCTCTCTCATTAGGCAGTTACTTCCCATTCCTGCTTTCATACCCCTGACAACCACCAACCTTTCTGTCTCTGTGAATTACCTATTCTGAATAGTCCATATAAAGGGAATCATGCAATATGTGGGGGTTTTTTTGTGTGTGTTCAGCTTATGTAATTTAGCATATTTTTTTTTCAGTACTAGGGATTGAACCAGGGACACTGTACCACTGCACTACATCCAAACCTTTTTATTTTTATTTTAAGACAGGGTCTCACTAAGTTGTCCAGTCTAGCTTTGAACTGCAATCCTCCTGCCTCAGTCTCCCAAGTCACTGCAATGACAGGCATGCACTGCCACACCCAGCAGCATAATGTTTTGGAGGTTCTTCCATACTGTAGCATGTTTCAGTACTTTTTTACTTTTTTATGGCTGAATAGTAGTCTACCCTGTGTATCAACCATATTTTGTTAATCCATTCATCTGTTGATGAAAATTTTAGTTGCTTTCACCTTTCAGCTACTGTGAGTTGTGCTGCTGTGAATGTTTTTGTGTCGAAGCTAATTGATACCTGTTTTCAATCCTTTGGTTTCAGTTAGGTTTTATGGTTAGCAAAACACCTCTACATCCATTCTCTTCCCACATATAAGTATTCATTTTAACTGTCGTATTTCCCCAAAACGGGGAATTTTAGGGCCAAATTCACTAGCAATCATCCATTCTGCTAATTAAATCTATTAGATCTGCCCATTCCCTTCATTATTCTTCTGAGAAAGAAAATGATTCCCAGTAAGGAGGATGTTTCTGGTATGGAGAATGGTCCGTACAGTGGGCTAGCCTAGGACAGTCACCACAACCTCAGTTAGGTTGATTTGTGAGTGAGCAATAAACAGAAGGGTGTAATATAAAGTTAGTACTCCATAGAATGGTTTGACCAAGGTGCTGAGAGTTGGAGGGAGTTGGGAGCACCTGGATCCTAAAAATGAGAAGGACATTCACAGATGAAAGGAGGGTAGAAGACATTCAGGCCTCAGAAAGAGTACAAGCTGAGCCCCAGGAGCATCAAAGTGCATTTTTTATTTTGAGACGTGCAAGATTCTTAGTGTGGCTAGTATTACCAGGGTCACTGCACCTGACAGGGAACGAGGCTGGAAACAGGCATGAGATGAAGTCTCCATAGAACAGTGTTGCTTTTCCTGGCTCTTCAGAGATTAATGGATGGATACTCTCACTGCTGCCCCAAGGTGCCACCTGCACTCTCATCATCTTTTATAAACTCTTTGCCCCAGGGAATGAGGCCCTGGAAGTGGAGGGTAAAATGTTTTCTGTTTTTCCCAATTCCATGACAGCAAACTGGGAAGTCTGCAGAGGCTGGCAACATGGTAACTAAATTACCTCTATGAGAAACCTGAGTTCCTGCAAAACACCCTCTGCATCTCTACATCCAGGGAGGTATCTGGCGCATGCTCATGCTGACCGCGGCAAAGAGCAGCCAGGTTCCATCTGCCTTTTCACCATGCACTTTCCTCCTCCGCAGAACGTGGCCTTGGACACGATAACTGCAAATGCCCTTGCCCTTCAGCTGCTTTTCAGCTTCATGTTTCTAATTTGCAGAGCATGGAGTGAGGCAGGAAGACATCAGTGATGAAAGAAGTGTGAGCTGGAAAAAAGCATAAAGCTGATTAATGCTGGGGAGGATTTGTTCTCCCCCAGCCAAAGCCAGCAGGGAAAATTGGAAGGAATGAAAGGTGATTGTGACTGTGTTTAAAAGAAAATCTTTTTGCCACTCAGTATACACTAAAGCATCTCCACAGCAGAAAGCCCCTGTAAGAAATTCAGGAACTTCCATAACCAAACCATTTGGGGAAATATATATATAGATAGATAGATAGATATAGATAGATATAGACATATATAGATATAGATAGATAGATAGATAGATAGATAGATAGATAGTATGGTTACAAGCACTCCATTAGGACAAATCTAGCTCTTCTGCTTGCTGTGCAACTTTGGACAAGTTCTTCACGCTTTCTGGCCCTTAGTTTTCTCATCTGTAAAATAGGAATATTACACTGCACCTTGTTTAGAAGACTCCAGTCAATATAAGATGACTTACAAACTATTTTATAAATATATGGAACTCAGCAGTGTTTGGTACAGGATAAAGGCTCATCAGAAAGTCTCTTACTTACAATCAAGTTGTTTCTGATGGAGAACAGTCTTGGAAAACTGAACACAGTTACAGATCCAGCAACATGGCCTGAGCTTTGAATTTTTCCCTTTAAATCCTAGCTCCACCACTTCCAGGCTTTGTGAATTTCAAGCTACTTAATTTCTCTGAACCACAGTGTTTCCTCCTGTGAAATAAAGATGAGATACTTTATCAGGGCTGCTGTGAAGAAATCACCCCACACCGCATGCAGCACAGAGGAGCAGATGCTTAATAGGAGTTTGCTTTTTTAGTGCTGTGGTTCTTCACCACGTTCAAATCACCTGGGAGGTGTTTTTTTTTTTTTTTTTAAGCATGAATTCCTAAGCCTTGCCCCCAGAGAGTATGATTTAATAGGTCCAAGGCGAGGCCTGAGCACTGGTATTTTTTAAAGCTGCCTCAAGAGATTCTTACAAGCAGCCAGGGCTGAGAACTGCTCACCAGCAAATGACGTTACATACTAGTTTGCTTTTTGGTTTTTGAAAATATCTGTCCCCAGGAAATTGGTCAGAATAGCAGGAATTCTAAGCATAATAAAAAAAAAATTCAATACACCTGCAGCTGTAACCCCTTGATAAGAAATGGGTAGCTAAGGAATTGCATTCCATTTTTTTTTGGGGGGGGGCGGAATATATATATATATATATATATATATATTCAAAGAGTCTTTTTAAGAGGCTTGAACTGGAAAGGTGGTAAGAAGTTTAGCCTAAGCTTCACACATAAAATATGGGAACTCCCAGTAGGTTGGGGATTTATATCTGGGGGTAATTCCAGGGTTTTGTCCTCCCAAGAGATATAAATTGAGGCCTTCAGAGTTTAATGTAAGGGAGGACGAAGGGTTCTCATAATGACACCTTCAACATCCAGGGCTCTGCTAATGCCGAGGGATAGAAAAGCATAGTCTCTAATAGCAGGGGTGGTGTGGGGGTGGATTCTGGTCTCTACTTAGGTTTACAGCATCCAAGGCTAGGTCATCGAGAACCTTCCTTCTCCCCATAGGTTTATGGTATTAGTTACCCAATAAAAGTTGGGTTAATTTTACAACCCAAGTAAAATTTAAGCCAAAAAGGCTTCAACATTACTCTAGGATTTATGAAAGTAAACATATGGAGTGCTTGCAGGATTGCACAACATTAAAATTTCAATGTCTTTATGTCAGGTATACAATATATTCGTTTGTATGTGTACTTAAAGGTTAAGATTTTAAGAGCTTTGCAATACAGGCTATTTTTGAGACTCAACTAAAGATACTTACCCTACCCCCACCTTCAAACTGACTGATGTAGAGTGGGAAATAGAAAACTAATGAATATAACTGTCTATCAGATTTTTTTTTCTGGTTTGCTGCTGTATTGTGGGCTTCCTAGACTCCTGTACTGACCCTCACCCCCCCACACACACACACAAGTGGGGAAGTCCTGCACCAAAGCCCTGACCACAGTCTGTGTTGCAGGATAGGAGCTTAGTAAATGTCTTATAAATAAAATTCCTCTTTGAGTCTTGTAAATACTTTAATAATAATCAATGTCATCTCTGCCATTTAAAAGGCCTTTGCCCTATTTGATGGATTGTTATGACTTATACTTGGAGGCTAGAGAGATCAATTGTCATTCCCATCTTATAGATAAGAAAAACATGGCTCAGAGGGCATAGAGGACATATTTAATGATGCCCACACATTAAACCCAGAAAGGAAATATTGTTTCCTTTTAACTTAGAAGAAACACAAGAGAGAAATGATATTTTGTGGAGACATATTGACAGCAGCCAGGTGAGCAGAAAAGAAGCATCCAGGGTAGAGGTCAACCTACAAATGTGGCAGGCAGCTTTTGACATATCTATGATCTTCCTTTGAGAAACAGGTGGATGTCCTGTATTTTGTCTTGGGTCCATTTTAGGGAAGGTATAGCCTCTGACCTTTTATATTAAAACTAACATCGAAGATCCTGATCTCCAGTCTCATCACTTGCCACACTTCTAATAATTAACTGGTATCCCTTTGTCTTCAAGATGAAATCCACTTTCTTCTTTTACTTATTATTTTGAGGTAGCAAAATTTTAGTAAGATTATTTTTTTAAAAATTTTAGGGTAACATTAAGGCAAAACTTCCAATGACATTTTCTCCAGATCCTGGAGATTTAGTGACTCAACTCAAATGTTCAGGTGTGTGGCTTTGCGTGGCTGTCTTTCTGCATAGCAGAGATGACAGGTCTCAAACAGTAAGAAGCCACCTATCCAGGCTACACTCTGGTTCCTTCTAGCTGCAACCAGCTCCTTACCCTGTGGATCCCCCTAATTGACATGTCAGTTGGAGTGGATCTTGTGACTAATACACCCACACCATTGTAGCAAATGAAGCAGAAATAATCTGTGCTTAAAAAACAAAAAACTGTAGAACATGTGCCCAGATTTCCAACTCATTTCCTCTTTACTCTACATCATCTTCCAGCCCACCACCAGCTGCGAAAATAAAAGCATTTTCTCCCATATTTAAGGACGATTTTGTGCTTCAGGATGATTTTCTGGGGTGTAGGAAACTTGACCAACGTGACCAACAGATGTTTTAAGTGATGTTTTGAGAACTGAGCAAAAGCTTGTTTCTTTAGCTGTCTTTAGGATACTATGCCCAAATGTGCCCCCTAGTGGCATTTAAGGGTAATGCACAGTACATTAGATAACCACCACGCTTTGTTTTTAGAGATGAGTATGAAGAAGATGGATTCTGTCAGCCATACAGAGGGATTGCATGTGCACGATTTATTGGCAACCGCACTGTCTATATGGAGTCTTTGCATATGCAAGGGGAAATAGAAAATCAGATCACAGGTAGGTAACAACAATAAAGTTATATTTATCCCCTGAATAACTATTTTTCTCACCAACAATTTCATTGAGCTTCTCTCTTGACAAAGGAGTAGGCTAGGCATGAGGGCTGGGAGCGAGGCCATAAACAATCATGAGACATGATCTCTGTGCTCTGGAATTTACATTAAAATAATTTATTAAAGATCACTCTTAGAGGAAAAGGAAGATTTAAGAAATCTCACATTCACTCAAACACTCAATAAATATTACTGAGTGCTTTCAGCATGCCAGGAGCTGGCTTCGGACCTGGGGATGTGATGGTGTAAACAGGCTGGGTGTTTCTGCCCTCACAGAGCTTACTGTTGGGAAGCAACATGAGATACACTGAAAGAGAATGAAATTAGAGTCTAGAACTCTGGACATGAATCCCAGAGCTGTCTTACAGCGACTTGACTTAGGAGAAATTGCTTCTTGTCCACAAAAATCATTTCTTCTGGAAAAAGGAAAAGAAAGGTGGGGGAATCTCATGAGAATTGAAAGGAGATCAGTAGAGTGAAAAAGGGGACTAGGGGAGGGAGGAGTAGAGCGAAAGGGAAACCGCTGGGAATGACACTGGCCACATTATATTGTTATAGTGTGTGCATGTACTGATAAGTAGCAACAAATCCCACCATTATGTGCACCTATAATACACCAATTAACAATATGGAAAATCAGAAAAAAAGAAAATCCTTTCTTCCTATATGAAATGAGTGATTAACCTTAGGTGACTTCCTGCTGTACCTTTCAATATTTTACTCTTCATTTTTCTTCACTGAAATTTAATTGTCTTCATTTTCTTTTGATGGAAAGCTAAGAGTGTGGCCCTTTCACATGAGTGTGGCTGGTGTAGTGCATCTTAGACCATTTCCACCCTAGTTCTGGTGGCTACCATGGCCTCATGTCCTTTTCATGAGTGTGGTCATTATGCTTCTGTGCCACATGCCCTTTGCAGTCCGTTGAAATTGCCTTCATGAAATTCTAGTAAGGCTGACAGATTTAGCAAATACAAAAACGTTTCTCCAGTTATGTCTGAATTTCAGATAATGTTTAACATAATTACATCCTCCATGTTTTTCTGAAATTCAAATCTGACTATTACAGTTTGTCCAGCAACTTGAAGATTTAAGGAAGGCAAGAACAGGGAAGGATAGAGAGAATAGAAGGAAGGTAGACACAACCAATGCACCATGTATGTATGCATGTATGGAAATGCCACAGTGAAACACATTAATTTGCAAAATACATTGAAAAAGTGTGCAAGCGAGTGAGAAAGAGGCAAGAATAAACTCAAACCAGGCATGGTGGTGCACACCTATAATCCCCAGCAACTGGGGAGGCTGAGGCAGGAGGATCCCAAGTTCGAGGCCAGCTTTGTGAACTCGGAAAGACCTTGTCTCAAAATTAAAAGTGCTAAGGATGTTGCTCAGTGGCACAGCACCTACCTAGAATGTGCCAGGCTGTGGGTTTGGTTGTCGGTACCAGAAACAAAACATTCCAAGGTGGGAATATAGAACAACAAAAGGTTCAGAAAGTATGATCTTGAAGAATTTCAAAAAACAGGGAGGAGGCTGGGGGGAGCTATTTAACTAGGAGAAGCAACTATGGAAAGATGGACTTGCCATTTTTTGGAAGCCCTCAAGTTTTCAGGAGGAAGAAAACTCTGAAATTTCAAAGAGCAGATGTAGGATTGATAGGAAGGAGCTATTGAAGGCACATTTCAACCTAAAAAAAAAAAGAAAAAAGAACATTTTAACACAACTTTTACCAAGAATTCACACAAATAAAGGGAGATTCTCATGTAAATATTCGGTGACCTATTTATAATAATTGTTCAGTGGACATCAGCTTCCTGGAACGTATTATTAATTTCCCCCCCTCCATATAACTTTGTTTAACCCCCTAGCATTTTCCAAACCTGTTTGGCTGTATAAGCATAGTTTCTCAAACACTGTTAATAAGCTACAGGATTAAAGTCCCAAGAAACACACATTGAGAAACAGGGCATCAACAGCCCCCAGGACTGCCCTTCCAGACTGCTGCTCTTTTTATCTAGACGCCCCGTTGGGATGAGGTTAAGCTGGAGGAGCACTAATAGTCTATGATACATACTGGAACAATTGGATTGTGCTCTTCGAGAACTTCCAAGTGAGTTGCCTCATTTTCAGAAAATGGAATAGAAAGTATTCAAGCCGCAAAGAAATGAAGCAAGTTACCCAAACTCGTCCAGCAACTCTTGCCATCTGGCAAGACACAGAACTCCATGCTGTGCTCAGGCTCAGCCACTGCCTGAGGCAAGTTCTGCCCTGGAGCTGTCAAATGTCTTAGAAGCATTGAAAAACTAATAAAAAAAAAAATCCCGGATGAAACATGAAGTTCTACTGCTTTGTAGTAAAAAAATGAAAAACGTATTGTACTTTAACCTAATTAATTATTTTTATTAGGAAACAGTACATATGTAATTTAATATTTTTTTAACTTTGTAGTCAAAATGATTTCTTCAAGCCAGTGAAAGTAAGCTGCTTTGACATCTGAAATGAATCTCCTCCTCCCGGCCCTATGGGGTTCAGCACAGCAGATTCCTCCCTGTGTGTGTTTGTATTTGATATCTGTTGACTAGATAACCGGAGGAGATAAACCCTGGCCTCTGGAGTTAATAATTGTGTTTGTTTTTCAGCTGCCTTCACCATGATTGGCACCTCCAGTCACTTATCTGATAAGTGCTCTCAGTTTGCCATTCCTTCCCTGTGCCACTACGCCTTCCCATACTGTGATGAAACCTCAGCTGTCCCAAAGCCCCGTGACTTGTGTCGCGATGAATGTGAAATCCTGGAAAATGTCTTGTGTCAAACAGAGTACATTTTTGCAAGGTCGAATCCCATGATTCTGATGAGGCTAAAACTGCCAAACTGTGAAGATCTTCCCCAGCCAGAGAGCCCAGAAGCTGCAAACTGTATTCGGATTGGAATTCCCATGGCAGATCCTATAAATAAAAGTAAGTGGTAGCCCTGACCTTCTGTGTGAACTTCTGTGCTGACCTGAGGGCCAGCAACCCAATGGCATAGTGAAAATGGACCTTGACCTACAGTAATTATTCACATCAGGACAGTAATTGTTCACACTGGTCATTAGATCACCTTCTAGTGGTCTGAGTACCATGCCTCAGCATTCAATGGTAGACTAGATAGAGGTACCTTCAACAAGCTGCATAAAAACAACCATTTAAAAGAATAGGAGAGAGTTTCTTCATAACCTAAACATAGAATTACCATTCCACCCCTGAGTATATGATCAGAACAATTACAAACAGATGTTCAAACAAAAACTCTCATATGAATGTTCATAATAGCACTATTTACAGTAGCCAAAAGGCATAAACAACCTAAATGTCCATCAGTGGAAGAATGGTAAATAAATCGTGGTATATCCACACAATGAAATATTATTTATTCATAAAAAGGAATGAAATGCAAATATATATGCTGCAACCAGAATAGAATTTGAAAACATAAAAGAAGCCTGACACTACTGTATGATTCCATTTATATGAAATATGTAGAATAAGCAAATCTATAGAGATACAATGCAGATTCATACCTGCCAGGGGCCGGGATTAGGAGTAGTGGGAGTGACTAGTAATGCACAGAAGTGTTCTGGAACCTCGTAGTAGTGAAGTTGCACAACATTGTAAAGGTACCAAATGCACTGATGGTAAATTTTATGGTATGTGAATTGTACTGCAATTTAAAATAACATATATGAAGGTTGGCCTCCATCATCTACCTTCTCTCCACCACCCAATGGAAGACTATTCTTCTGTACATGTCCCTTTCACCTAGATTAAACTTGTAATCTTTTAAATTTCCTTTCAGTAGTTAATGTTATTTTATTACTTAAATAAATTTATAGATCAAAAATGCTTAGTACATAGTAAGTGCTCATATCACTATTGTTACTATAGTCAGTAACCTTCCAAACTCCAGTTTATATCAACTCAGTAGATTCTACAGTGCTTTAAGTTTTAGCCAATATGGTCACCTGGGAGGGCTGCTTAAATGGATCTGCTTCCCATGGGTATTTACTCCATCCACACAGAGAGCCCTAACTCCTGCTAGCAACCCAGAATGCACTAGTACACATTTTCTGTGAATTACCAGCTAGATTCTTTAATCACATGATTCATTGTAAGGCCATCAATTAGAATGTTAGGAAAAGCTTGGCTTGAACCTTCATTGAACCATTCACGAGTAAATTACTTCTGTACCTCTAGGTCCCACCCTAGTTCTGATTTCTTCTGTGCTCAATATTAAAAATACTTGCAGAAGACTGGTTTTATTCCTGAAGCATAAGCTTTAAATCCTCCCAGGAATGTAACTGCAAGGCAGGCCCTGAGTCCAAGCCCAGCCAGCAGGAAGACTGCCCCACGTGGCCCCTGACCATGAGGTTAATCAGATGCTCTCCCCTCCAGAAACTGCTGGCTGGGGAACACCAACCAGCTTTGCCTCTGTGTCTTTTTAACAGTTTGGGCTTTTCTTTGTGTTTTTCAGATCACAAGTGCTACAACAACACAGGTGTAGACTACAGGGGGACTGTCAGTGTGACCAAATCAGGGCGCCAGTGCCAACCGTGGAATTCCCAGTACCCCCACACGCACACCTTCACTGCCCTCCGCTTCCCAGAGCTGAATGGAGGCCATTCCTACTGCCGCAACCCAGGGAATCAGAAGGAGGCGCCCTGGTGCTTCACCTTGGATGAAAACTTTAAGTCCGACCTGTGTGACATCCCAGCCTGTGGTAAATACAAGTCATTGCCCTTAATATCTTTGATCATCTCTCAAAGATCCCCACCCCATCCCCTCTTCACTTAGAAGAATCCTATGGGGGGTGGGATGGGGGAGCAAATTTGATTGAAAGTGTTTGCTTGATGTCAGACAGTTTCTAGTGTAGATAAATCTTGATATTTTTAAAAAAATCTTGATATTTCTACATAATAGTAAGGTACCAGATCACACTATAAGAAATAACTGCTTTTCTACCTGAAGCCATTGCACTAGAAGATGTAACAGGGACCCAGCTTTCCAGAGGCACAGGTGAGACAGCTTATCACAATCATCTCTGTAGAAAAAGATGTGACCTATAATGGTCCATGTTAAAGTGGACCTTTTTAGCACAATAGTCATATCAGAAGCTGTGCGGATAAAAAACTGTCTTCTGTATGTCACAGAGCATACCCATGAGCCAGGATGAGTCTTCAACCATTGCCCACTCATCCAGGGCACTCTCTGGATAAACTATGTTCTCTGTCTGGTCCATTAATACTGCAGAAGAAGAAGTGTACAAGTGTGTAGAAAGAAAATGGAATTACTGAGTCAGTTTGTTCCATTACTTAGAGAATGTTTATAAGGTAAAAGAAAGAGAGTGAAAATGTTGATGAGACCTGGAGTTTGGAACTATCTGGAACAGATCCATCTTTCTGATACTAGTTCTTTTTGAGTGGGCTTCCCAGGCATGATGGGAGAATCAGGACGCCACTGCTGGGAAACTAACAACAAAAACTATCAAACCAGAAGCAATAGATTTGGGACACATAGATAACATAAGCCAAGGGGAGCTGGGTCTTTAGATCATTATTCAAGGCATTTGTGCCACGATATTTGTCAAGTGTCTACTATATGCCAAGTACTTACTCATCTGGGCTGTAGGCTAAGTGGAGACCCTAAAGTGAGAGTAGGCCTAGCACACCCAAGAGGAAGTAAGGGGCCACTGGGGCTGGAGCAGAACGAGCAAGGAGGAGAGCAGAAGATAGGTCAGGTCTGAAAGGTAATAGGACCCAATCATGCAGTGCCCTGGAAGCCACTGTAGCACTGAGGCTGTGAGCCTGAGTGAGTAGGGAAGGCCTTAGAGCATTCTGAACAGAACTCACATTGAACATTCTTAAAGGATTACCTTGGAAACTGAGTTGAGACTGGACTGCAGGAAGGGTGAGAGCAGAGGCGAGGAGATCATGGGAAGCTACAGAGATAATCTGGGGGAAGAGATGCAGTGTCCTTGAGAACAGGAGGAGGAATGGTGGAGGCAGAAGCAAGGGGCAGAGGCTGGATGCATTTTGAGATTGGAGATGACAGGAATCACTGGTAGATCAGATATGGTACAAAAGGAGGAAGGGCTCAAGAATGACTCCAGAGCTGTTGGCTTGGCTTGCCTTTTGCTGACAGGGAGAAAACTGCAGAAGTTTAGTGGAAGCTGGACCAAATGAATTACTTTAAGGGAGAAATGCGTTGTCCATTCCATCCTGGGTAAACCCACTGGTCACTTCTGATCCTTAATTTCCAGCTAATAGTCATCAGAAATAGAGAAGAAATTTGCCCATAAACTGGAAGATATGTTGACAATCTGATTCAAGGACTCAAGTTCTATTGCAAAAAATAAAAAAAATATCAAGACTATACATTATACCAAAAAAGTATTAATTTTCATCTCAATAGCCTTTCTGAAGCCATCAGACCAAACACATGCTCTGAGAGAAGAAGAAAAATCCTTTAAAGTTCTTTCTGAGTGTGTAGAGAGAGAGAAAGATCACTTACATCTACAGAATACTTAATACATGCCTGCACATTGCTTGGTACCTAACATGATTTTCTTCATTCAAAACTCATACCCTTGCTGTGGGATGGGTATTATTAATATGTACCACTAAGGTTCACAAGTTTTAAAGAATTGTCTAAATCAGATGTCCAGCCATTGGTGGGATAGACCCACCACTGAACTTTCATCTGCTGACACATAGATCTGAGCAAACGCAAAGCTCATATTCTTCTACTTGGCACTCTCCTAGCTCTCATTTCAAGCTATAGATGCAAAAATAAATACAAGGAATAACAACAGGCTCAATCTCCAGATTCCACCATGCCATTTCCCTTATATGATATGAAATCAAAAAAGGTCCCCTTACTGCTGAAGAAATTCATCATAAATGATTTTCAGTAAATGATCACAGTATTAATCAGGACAGTGATATTGGAAACTCAGAATTCTTTCTGAATATTAACCTGCAGAAGACACAGTTAAAATTCTGATGACTGGTTCATTCTAGTCACATGAATGATAAATTTAGATGAAAGTTAACCCAGAGATAACAAGGCAGTTTTTACCACTTAGGATTAAAAACAACAACAACAAAAAAAAACTTTCATTTTATTTTAAAAGAAAACAGTTCCTCTTGAGTTCTTCAACTCAAGCCACAAACACATCCATTAAAGGAACAGGGAATCCTTATGTGATCAATAAGAAGCTACTGGGAGACCAGTGGCTCCCTAGTGTGAAAGTTCCAGAAGAGAACAGGTCAGTGTCGACTGCAGACTGAGCGAGGCAAGATTTCTCATGATCGCGACCCTCAGTAGCCCACCTCTGACAAAATAATCATAATGGAATCCTACTTTTATAAATTCTTTAGAGCATTTGATTTTTTCTTATTTCATCCTTACAAAAACCATAAAAGATGAAGTAGGAATTTCCGGCCCCCTTAACCATGAGTAAACCAAGGCCCAGAGCGGTGAGAGGCCCATCTAAGATCACTTACCTCATAGAAACCGGGTCTCCTCTCTTTAGACCACCACTCTTTGTTCTGCACCAGAGGTTCCTTATTATCACCACAGAGGGGTCTAGAGGATGCTACTGGCCAGGGAAGCTGGTAAGCACCTTGCAAAACCCAGAAGAGCCCACACAAAGATTCTCCAGCTCCAAATGTCAATAATGCCAGGGTCAAGGAAACTTTTTCTATACTATACAATCATAGACAATAGAAAAACAATACTAAACACTTATTACCATTTATTGTATAGTTACAACCGGCCAAAAACTACACTAAGAGATTTTTTTTTAAATGCAATCTGTCATGAATAAGCAATTCCATATACTTATGGGTAGGTTTTTTTTTTTTAATTGTTTGTTTGTTTTTAATGCCCAAGAAAGAAAACTGAGACTTAGGTTAAATAACTTATCCAAGGTCACATGGCTAAAAGGAAAGGGAGCAAGCACTACAACCTACAGCCTGCCTTTTAAACTATGTGATTTATGTATGTATATGACTCTGTGTGGGAACAAACAGACGGATAGATAGACCAATATTAACTATAACTGTTTATCTCACAATGAGTTGTAAATTAGTAGAACAGGATTGAAATGAGTCCTTTTCTGCCATCCCAAGTGGGATGGACTGTTGTGGGAATGTTCCTTAGTTATTTACATTTCCAAGTTGAGATTTCAGAATCTTCCTGGGTTTCTCATTTTCCCTAATGACATCTTTTGTTTGAATTTCAAGTAAGTAAGGCTAAAAAAAAGTATAGGCCTAATTAAATAGAAAATATGAACATTGGTTGTACTTTCTAGAATAAACAGTCTGCTGCAGATTGTTTTATTCATGAACTTTCACTCTGGGACAGAACACAAGATGAAGGACAACTTAATGTGGCCCCTGTGAATTTTGGAAATTGGCTTGGTGAGGATTGCATGTCTATGCCCAGAAAGTGCCTAGAGGACACAAAAAGAAAGGACAAAACAGATGATAGTTTGAGAAAGACTCGACCTCTCACCCTCCCTCTTTTCTTTCATGTGCCTGGCATCTGATAATTACAATGGTAAAGTATTACAATTCAGTCAGTCACTAAACCAGTATATGTTGAGGTTTACTGTGCTTCAGAATTTTCCAGCAAGATAGATCAGACCAGGCCCTCAGGCAGCTTAAGTCCAGTGGAGAATCCAATGAAGAAAGGGCTAGATTGCACTAAGTATTGTCATCTAGTTCCCAGTGCTTTGTGCTCTGCATTTTAATGGTGACGGTGCTTATTGAACATTATCCTTAGTTCTCTCTACTAGATCTGGCCCAAGACTTAGCTCATGCATAATAAAATGTATTGAACTAATTAATCCTCACAATAACCACAAGATCAAAGAGATCATCTCCACCTTACTGATGCAGAAGTTGAGGCAGTGTTATTTTTACCAAGGCCAAGACTAAAACCAGATCCACACAACCCTGTCCCAGATCCCACCCTCTGTCTGCCACGCTGTAACTGCTTCTAGAACAAATTCTAGACTATTTCAGATGAATAAATATTCCTTTATCATTTTCCTTTGATTATTATGAATTCTCTGGAATATTGTCCATTGATTTTCTTATTCACATATGCAGAGATATAGAAATGGAACGCTCAGCTTCAAAGGCATCTTCTCTGAAGAATCCAGCGTGCCTCATTTAGACTCAGCCCCGATATGGTCTAGCTCCCCCAGCAACTCCACCCAGGTCTCATGGTGTTTCCCTTTTACCTGGCCACTTCCTGGCTATCCCAGATCTCCAATACTCAAAGCTAGCCATCACCTTGGAGATCTGGCCTGCACCTTCCATGTGCAGTCATCGGTCACCTCTGAAGCCAAGTATCATGGGTTGGGTAGAAACTTGAAAAAGAAATATTTTGCTGATTTTTTTCCCCCAAACTGGCATCTATGCGCTCCTCTCAGGGTCACCATTTCACTGTGGCCCTTACCAATGCTTTTCTACCCAGCTTTGTGGGCTAATCTGTGGGAACATTAGTGTTTCTGGAAGTTCCTTGTGCAATGATCTTGCCATTTTGCACGACTTATATTCTTTTTTCCTCCCCAAGTTACTGAGATCCCTTTTGTTGCTTTCTTGATTTGTATGGAGAGGCAGAATCCTGCTTGTTTTGGTGTTTCCATAGTCAAACCTTGACCCTTTATTTTAGTTGATCAAGTCTTGAGGTCACAGTTTTTCCTCTAAC